CTGAGGAATACGAATGATACCCTTGCTGGTACTACCAAAATAAAAAGGGTTTATGAGGATTACCTCGAAAGAGTCCTCATCGAGGGTGATTAGCCAACCATGAGAGGAGCCGAAGATTCTTTTATTGGAAGGAACTCGGAGCTGAAGATCATAAACTTCACCTTTGTTGATGCTGTATAAACTTCGGATGAAGTCATTGTTCTCTGTACATGGTAAAAGCAACAAAGGAAGGTTTCGATTGAAGTACATGTTAGGACACAGTTTGAGCTTTTGTAACGTGTTTTTTGCAACAGAACGCCGAGTAGTACATACACTGCTAAACATAATCATGTCAGACAGGAGTAGGAACTTGTTTAGTACAATGTAAAGCAGGTCTCGAGGGAGACTTGACCAATCAGTATCGGGTTTAGGGCAACAAGAAGAGGAGGAAGAGGCCGAGGCTGAGGCTGAGGCAGAGGCCGAGGAGGAGGGGGTTTTGGTTGCTGTCATATTTGAAGATTAACAGCTAGAAAGAAGAAAGATATGAGGAAGTTTGCACTTTTCATTGCATACATAGCTCCATTATATAGGTGAATAATGGTTACATACTAAGAAAGTAATCATCTAAAGCCTAAATCTACCTTGAATCGATATCTGAAGTGATTGCAGTGATCTGCCAGACAATGCATCAAATAAATTACATTCATACATCAAAGAAAAAGGCTATCAAAAAAATGAGAAACTTTAATAATAATAAGCCTACTAAACACTTAATTCGCATAAGTATTAAGGATGATTTAGTGATCTTATTTGATAGAATAATCAATGTGATAGAAAATGTTATAATATATAACTTGTTAAAAGATAGGATTATATCCTACATGATAGAGATCTATAGGATTATTAACTTTGTATGAAGTTAATCACATCTCAAAAGGTAGGGCTGGCAAAAACTGACCCGACCCGAAAACACGACCTGAACCCGACCTGAAAATATCGGGTTAGGGTTGAGGTTTTTGACACGAAAACTTAAATGGGTTGACACGAACCCGACCTGATATTTAAATGGGTTAGGTTAAGGTTGAGAAATTCAACCCGAAAGTAACCCGAATTGACCCGAAAAAAATTAAAACATGTTTTGTTTTTGGGCCAGATCCATATTGTACTCCGTATGAGATATATATGTACTACCTAAAGAATAAAACCCTAATATTTATTTCCCTACCCACCAGCCACCGTCACATGTTTTCTTACCTCCACTTTCTCTCTCATAATTTTTTCTCTCTTCTCTCTCATAATTTCTTCTCTCCTTCCTTTAAATGAGTTTTTCACTAATATTCTAACCCAGATCTTCATCAAATGAAAATATGACTTTCATTTTTCTACTACTTCGTTTTTTTTTGTGTGTGTTATTAAATAGTTTATTTTTGTTGTTGTTCTTTAGTTCGAAAATCTCTATTGTTTGAAAATAAGAATTTAGTCATTAGTTTAAATAATATTTCGTGTATGTTTGTTTTTCTGTAATTGTTTTTCAATTTATTTAATGATTGTGTCGAATTTTTCTTTCATTCTTTTTTTTTTCTTTTTTGTTTCTCTGATTTTTCTTATTTTTGTTTTGCACGACATGCAAGGTTGAGCTTTTGCTGTTTCATGGTTTACCGACTCATGAATTTGACGCTTCATATGGATCATTATTTTGTTTTATTTTGGAAATGTAACTTCAATTCTCGTATAAAGGTGTACTGTGTGGATTCCAATTTCATACTAAGTATTAAATTATAAAAAATAATTAAAGGATGAATGTATGTGTTGCCAGATCTGAATAAAAATCCAAATTATTGGCTTAATTTTTTTCATTAAAAAAAATCAGGTTGAAATCAGGTTGACCCGAACCCGAATAAATCAGGTTAGGGTTAGGATTTCTGACCCGAAAAGTTAAATGGGTCAGGTTCAGGTCAGGGGTTTTTTGACCCGAAACCGAAATGACCCGAACCCGAAATGACCCAACCCGACCTGATTGCCACCCCTATCAAAAGGTGCAATTTCGCGTTATATACTACAACTAGATTATGGAATTTCCCGTTATATATCTAAAAAATTTAATTATTTGATTTATAGTAATTGATAATTTCAGACAAAATTACAAAAGTTTAATATATTTTTTTTTTACTATAATTCATAATGAATTTATTAACTATAATAAATTGTAAATATGATACTTTTTCCGTTATATAATATCTGTAAAATGATAAATTTTTAATAATTTAAATCCTAAATCATTATTCATTGTTTTACCATACCTTTTATTTCGATAGAAACACTATTTTCGTCCACAACCAACCTACTACATCAATGGGTAAATTGAACCGTGAAATGTTAGCCAAATTGAAATTGATATAAATTAAATATTTACATTTATATAAAATAAATCAATATATTTACCAATAAATGAAAAATTGTTGCGATATAAAATCAAATCTATGCATTGGAATTTTTTCATCATCTCCAAAAATAACCAAAGCCATCCATATATAAGTATACAACATCTAATCGTATGCCATTACAAAAACAAATAGTCGTTAAGTATCCTAAATAAATACAATGTAACTAATAATTACAAATATAAATTTAACCGTAAGATTTTAAAAATTACCGGGACATTGATGACCTAAAATTAACACAAAATTACTAACACAAAATTCACTTGATGGGTTTTTGTATTGATACGAAATTTTATTTGTGTCGTATGATGTGTTAGATTTGCATGTAAAAAAACATTTAGTAAATAAAACATAAACATATAATCGTTAAGTATCCCAAATTAATACAATGTAAGTAATAATTAAAAATACTAATTTAAACATAGGATTTTATAAATTAAGCTAAAAATTACCCGGCCATTGATGACCAAGAATTAACACAAAATTACTAACAAAAAAATTCGCTTGATGGGGTTTTTTATTGATACGAAATTTTGTTTGTGTCGTATGATGTGTCAATTTATAATGGTAGGTATCACAAATTTTAATTTAATTATAATTCACAAACAGTTTGTATTTCTTATCATAAATACTATCAAAATTTATCTTATAATGATAGGTATCAAACTTTATTATAAACGTTTATTATTTAAATATTTCTTAGTATATTTGTTTTGGATTTCTTATACTCGTAGTATTAATTAATAAATTTATCTTTTCCTATATTTTTACTTTAACTTTTTTTATTAAAATAATTTAATTCGTGGATTATAATCTACGTGGGATTAAAATTTTAACTATATCAAATCTAATTCGTACTTTATCTAGGTGGCGACATAATTTTTTAATTCAAAAATAAAATACAAATCTTTCTTCTTATTGGTCGAAATAATTATATTTCTTACGTGGCGCTCTGAATGCTCTCGAAAAATGCCTACTTTATTTATATATATTAGATTAGATTAGATTTTGACATGTAGTGTTCAATCTGTTCACCATCTCGAAACTAAGCTTGGTTCACTTGCTAAAAATTCGGTTTTGCATTTTGTAAATTGTAACCTTCTCAATTAGACTGGTTATCTCTTAAGCGTTTAATCACATCTTTGATACAATTACTCGATAGTTGTTATGACAAGTTAATAGAAATGATATGATTGTCATAGTTTACTTTCATTGATCATAGTAACGAACACCTCAACCTATTCAAGCAGGATTTTGTTGGATAGACAGGATTTTGTTTTCATTGCTTGATAAATTTTAAAAATTCTTTAATTTATCACATTTTGTCACGGTGTGGTCGTAAGGGGCTAGTTTCATTTTGGAATACTTTTTGTGTTTTTTTTTTTATTTTTAAGTTGACACATTTTCTTTTAACACTTTTGTCAATGCACAACATTAATGTATCTAATCTCAAATCAGCTACCGAAAGTTTATTCAACGTTTTGAGAACCATAATTGTACTGTATTGACCAGTTACCCAATTAACAATAACCCCTACTATTTTGTTTTGTTAAAGAGTATTAATATAGAATACTACATAGTCTACATTAGCTTGTTTATTAATGTGCAAAAGACAAATAATTGAAATAAATGTACAAAAGTTTTTTAAAGGTTTGTACTGAGAAGTAAAGCGTTAGCAAATAAAGTAAAAATCAAAATATAGTGAGGCGAGAGTGCTAAGAGATTGTATGTTGTTTCGGGCATAAACCCTAATCAAGGTGTACTCCTTAGCTTGATGGGTTAAAAATGCTTTGATCTTAATATTAAGATTTACGTGCGTAACGATTTAACTAGATTTGGCAGTCTCCGAGAAAACCCGTGCCAATGTTTATGTCAATGATTGAGAGAGAACAAAGATGTAATTTAACTCCATACATGTGAGCAAATAGTAAAATTGAATGCACCTTGTGATTTACCGCATATAGTAGTAATGAATGACATTGACTGCTAGGACATAAAAGACCGATAATTTTGGAGGCCTTTTAATGAAAAGAGGTTGGGCTTTTATTTTGTCGCCTTGGATATATATCATTGGGCTTTTATCAAACCATCTCAAATGGAGACGTTATATGGGTACCCAAACACATGTGAAACTCAATTTCTTTGCTTTCTGTTCCCCTTGAATTGTCATATTATGGGCCAATTCCCTTGAGTGACCACTGACCAGCTAATGGACACAACAGCACAGACGGACAGTGGGTAGAGAAACTTAGCACAATTTTTTTTTTTTTTTTTTTTTTATGTTTATCATCCATTTTGTCAAAAATTATAACCGTAATTCATTTAACAACTATTTTAATCTGTTTGTGTAAATTAGGCTACTTGTATGTGTTCTCATCTTATTAATTTGGAGTATTAATAAGCCTATTTACAGTTCTGGGAGCAAATTAGTTAATCATTACGATTACGGTATTTAACTCGACTAGTTCAAAATGTACTTTTCTGGACAAAGCATAGATTCAAGAAATGGAACACCAATAGTGAATGAATACGATATGATCAAACTACATTAACAAATCTTACATATGAAAACATAGAAGCTATAATCAACATGAGTCTTTAGTCTTGAGAGTTCAAAGAGGTCAGATGCATAACTCCTGGTATCCTACATATTTCAACGACATTAACAAATTCATAAAATAAAATGACACATTCAAAAACCATAGGAGATAAATTACGAAACACTGATAGCAAAAATTCTATGATCCAAGATCCAACTACATTTAACATAAAAGGCTCTGACAATGTATCTCACATGATTCATAGGTAACACTAAGTTGTACAAGAAGTTGACCATAGTCACGGCCTATACTAAGACTTTGGGTGAGTTTTCTACTTCTCGGCATTCTTCTGCTTCTTGGGCACACGGTAAGCACCAACAACACAAGCATGGTCACGCTCAAATGGCTCAAGAGTGACTTGCTCCATGGGTTTGAATTGCTCTTGTTGTAGCTTCTTCACTTCCGCAGCAAAAACTGCCTCGGCGGGACTTGTTGAATCAATACAGTTAGCCTGCAATATTCAAATCAAATCCATTATATTGAGAACTGAGGATAAATCACATGGGACCAAACCAAGTCTACAAAGAACAATGACAAACCTTGATGGATATAACAAAGTGGCCACCCGCTTTCAAGAAATATGTTGCATTGAGTGCCAAAATCCTAGCCTGCATGAAAGAAAATCAGAGTGCCATAAGGACAAGCAACATAATTTGTTAACTTCAACTCAACAATGCCGGAGTCATAGAAGCATGAAGAGTTGGTGATAACTCACCACCACAAGACCTTATAAAAGCCTGCTTTCGAGAGATAAATAGTTTGATTACACAAGTAAAAAACTAGTATGAAATTAACTACAGTCGAATTCCAAAAATTCCGGAAATCAACTAGGAAGGGGGCTCATTTATAGAGCACTTTCAATAAGGAGACGTGGAAAAAAAAAATACGACATATAGTTCCAAGTAGATTATAAGCTCCAAGAGGATATAACAATATATAGCAAGTAAAACAATTTGAACTCTTCGACAAAATAAAGTCAGAAAAGAGAGCACACTTATCTCATTCAAGCAGTAAACAGTTTTTGCACTCGCATCTCAAAACAGATATTATAGATCAGAAATTTTAAATACACCAGTAATATCATGGAACAAAAAACTAAAAAAGTGGGAAAAGGCATCATAAATATATTGCACCAATTATAAACTATGGATGTAAAACGATCGAGTTCCCATTTAATCTCCTCAATATAGGACAGCAAACACTTATGGCCAGACCAATATGACCATAACACTATCATCTCAAAGCCAAACTTGTAAATTACTACTGTATGCAACAATCACTACTACCGCGAGCAGCAACATCTTAAGTGCAGGTTATTTCTGAGTCTCATAAGTGAATAAAACAAAAACAGCAAGTCATGAAATAGGTCCAGACAACAACAAGCCATTTAACAAAATTCAGAAATATTTAGTAATCAATTACGAAATACATTTTGGCGCATCAGATAATCGGAGTTTACATCACCCAGTAAGTCTTGAAGGGGAATCCGATAAACTCATCAGATACTTGGTCATATTAACATCAACCATTAAGTCAAGTGCAAAAAGTTTGGAAAAAATTTCATGATTTAAAAAGTTTGCATCAGATAATCGGAGTTTACATCACCCAGTAAGTCTTGAAGGGGAATCCGATAAACTCGTCATATGCATGATTTAATGATAAGAGATGAGCAAAAGGAAATAGAACTCCAAAAGCAACAAACTAGGAAGATAGCTTTTTTTAAAAAAAGAAAAGTCGAAATTTGAAGCATCATTTTAGTTAGAAATGAATCAACACACCCAAAATGATACTCCCACACCAAACAATATTTGTCTTGAATAGTTGAAAATGAGGAAAGTATAAATGTCATCAAAAACCACTATAGCTATACACCAACACATAGAATAAGAACAAGGTGAAAAAAAAAACAAAATTGTCAATTTTAACGCCAAAAGATCAGCAAAATTATAAGCATGAAGAAGAAGGCAGCTATAATAGAACAAGGTAAACAATAAAAAGTTAATTATTGATCACAACACCAAGCTAGATCGATAAAAGAAATCAAGACCTGATCAGGCTGAGCGACATCAGAAAAGATCACATCAACCATGCCAACCAACATTCTGTATTTGGCTGGATGTCTAGCATCTTCGATGATAGGGATAACATTAGTTCTTTTCTTTGCCATGTTAACCAAATCTCTACCACTTCTGTGTGAGAATTCAACTGCATAGACAACACCCTCCTGCAAAGAGAATAAATAGATCAAATCTAACTCTAAAATAAGCAAAAATCTTGCTTTAACATTCAATGATCAACGAGCCACTTACAGGTCCAACAAGGTCAGACACATGGGATACTGTTGTTCCGGAAGCAGCACCGAGATACAAGACTTTAGCACCAGGTTGCTGCAATCATATACAAATTGAATTTCCATCAGTCAATCTATATATATTATAGACCCAACTAATGAACTTTTTACAAAACTCCCAAAATCAAACACTTACAATCCAAATGTTGTCAACACCACCAAGAATGGCAGCTGCCAACTTTGACCTAAAGGGATTCCAAACCCTGTATTCAACCTTTGTTCCATCTTCTTGCTGTTATGAAAACACAACAATTCAAAACACAAACAATATAACCCATAAACAAAAGGTACTACGTATAAATTAACATAAACCACATTATCAAAAGTAACTCAACTAACATCTACGGAGTAAGAACCATATGCTCAGGGCCGTCTAAAACATTTTGAGGGACTGTGCTATTGATTCCTCAAGAAATTAATCAAACAAGCACCTGATAACTCATCAATTTGTTTTCCTTTTAGTATTAGCGTTTTTATATATCCAAAGTAATTCTTATATAATTAAGATCAATGGAAAACATAATAAAACAGAACCAACTACTAAACATATCATTCAAAACAATTTCAAAATGAATCAAAAAGCAAACATCTTTTATAAATTTATATCAACAAAACATTCACATAAACATTAAGCAGTAATCTTTATCCTCATAAAAAAAATACTACCCAACAAACCGTATATCATAAATCATGATTATATTAACATAATCATATAGTTTCATATCCAGAATCAAAATTAAAAATAAGAGGATGATAGAACAATTACCGGAACAGAGATTCTCTTCTCATTGTAAACAGAATCACCAGGAACCATATTCTTAGTAACAAGAGCATCTTCTTTACCCTTAGCAATAAAAACACCCTTATGTCTATGTTGCTCAACTATCACTTTACTTCCACCTTTCATCCCTCCACCTCTTCCTCCTCCACCACGACCTCCGCCTCTTCCACGACCACCTCTGTCACCTCGACCACCTCCTCTCGGCTTCATTATACCACCACGCGCACCCATTCCTCGCCCACCGCCGCCACCACCTCGTCCTCCGAAACCACCGCCTCTTCCGCCGAATCCACCTCGTCCTGTAACATAATAATACTCGTTATTATCAGAAAAAAATAAATCAGTAGAACAATAAATTGGGGGAAAATGGGATTTAGGGTTTACCTCCTCTTCCTGGTGGTGCCATCTTTGAATAAGCAAGATTGCAGAGAAAATTAGGGTTTAAGGAGAATGGGAGACGGAGGAGTAGAGAAGATGACTGGGGGTTTAGAGAATGTTATAAAGGAGGTGGTGAAGTTTGATTTTAGGGTTTAGGGTTTTCAGGTTTTGACATTTTGGGGTATGAGGACAATTGTGCCCTTATTGGGCTTTGTTTTATTTTGGGTTTTGGATTTGCTCGTTTTTTCATGGGTCTAGAATGGGCCTTAGTGTAAATGTACAAGCTTTTGAGATTTGGACTTTAACGTTCTGAGCACTATCGAAGATTGGTTGCAAAAAAAAATATACTAAGCCAAAATAAGTCAAAGATAACAAAGCCAAATTTTAGGCAATACTTGTATCATTCGACAAATTGACAGGTACAATATAACAAGTATAATTTGATTTCTTTGTCAATTCCTCTTTGTCTGATGATTCTTTTTATTATAGAGTATTGGAAAAAGTGTGATGCTAAAGGTCACAATTTGTGACAAAAAATATTGCAACAATCTTAACTACTTCAAGGATATCGACCTTTGAATGACCATATCATCCCAAATAATATTATATAACTACGGGATGCATTCTCTACAATACTAAGATTTTACAACATCGGATCCCAAAACCTCCAAATTTACTCTAAAGTGTGAATTATAGCCTTCAGTTTTAGACAGTTTTGGACTTTTTAAGACTTTAAAAGGAAAGAAGTAGGGGTGTATCCCATGGACCTTACAACATCCGAAAGGTCATTTAAATGGTTAGAACTAAAAGTGATCAACTACGGCCTGGGCCGATCCGGTCCGAAAATAGGGTGGGTTTGGGCAAGCCAAAAATCACTTTTTAGTCAAAAAGCCAAACTCAACCCAAAAAGTCTGCTTGGCTCGACAAGCCCACTACTTTATTGCGGGTTTGAACATGACATTTGATTTTAAGGCCTGACCTGCCCGGCCCGAATTTTTTTATCACCGTTAGAACTGTCTACTTTTCCCATTAGCAACAGTCCAACATTTTTGCTTTTGTATATGCCTCCTTTTACTAACTATAATCCACCACTTACTTTTATGCGACTGATCTGACTAATGGTCGTATGTATTATATAACCTTGGGATGTTTCCCTCTATGATTATGTGAGTTTTTGACATTAGGTTCCGAAACTTTTGCATTGGTCTAATTTCGTGTAGTATTTTAGCCTTCAAATTTGACTTCTAAGGAACATTATTTTGTTGCACTCAACAAGATTATGCATCAAGGTTCTTCCTAAAATTTGTGAACAAAAAATAATGGCACAAAAAAATCTCTTATCAAATACAACAATGTTTGGACTTGTAACTGCTTTTCGGTGAACATTATTTTGTTAAGTTTACGTTATTAACAAATAATTTTCGAAAATCATATATACAAAGTTCATGACTTCATGTAACATAAGATCCAAGAAGTAAATTCAAGTCATCTTCTACTCACTTTGACGAATAAGCAAAAATCAAAGTAGTATTATTATAATTTTAAGAAACCTTCAGCTTAACATGAAACATGCTGTAACCTACTGTTTGGGTCCAATTTAGTCCAATTGGATTTAGGCATTAAATGATCCAATTAAAAGCCCAAGGTCAAAGTTCATCTCTCCAATTATGCTAAAGTCAAAGATTAGTCCTCAAGGCAAGCCAATTGGGCTAAGGCCCAACTTCTCCATGTATGAAGAGGTATAAAAGCCATCAATATTACATTTGTACATTCATTCAAGCAAAGCCTCAAGCAACTAATTCTCTTGCATAGTCTTCTCTTTCAACACACTGTACTGACTTTAGCATCGGAGGGGCCTTCCTCGACAACACCCCCGAGGCTAGTTTACGTGTGTTTACTGTGCAGGAAACCCTCGGCCCAACATTACTTGGATCGAATCTAGTCTTCACCACTTCATCGGACCTTCGGCAAGGTCCCATTGTTTTCACCCGAAACAATTTGGCGCCGTCTGTGGGGAAGACTTTCAAAAATATTTAAGCCAAATTTCTAACCAAGATCATCTTGCAATTATCTTAGTAGCAATGGCTAAGAACCGCAAAGGCAAAGGCCTCCGTCAAGGAGCGGGCGAAAAGCCTAAAACCCCTACACCATCACCCTCGCCGGACCGGAACTCTCCCAAGGGTGCCAGCTCAGGGGAGGATCATACAGGGAGGATTCCCTTTCTCCCGTAATTCATGACTCTCATCATAGGCCGAGTCACTCTCAGTCTAGCAGGGGTGAGTCCGATCATAGGACACATTCAGTGCCCCAAAGCCAACCATCGACTGTGCGCCCTCATTCCCATACTCGGCCGAGGACCCCTTTGACGGGGCCCAGCTCGGAGGAGGTGGCAAGAGCGCTGGCAGTGCTCATGGAGGCGATGAGGGCACAAAATATGCCACCACATCGTGATCGAACTCCTCCGCATACCCGGCATCAGCGGAGGAAGCTAGACCATGATGGTGGGAAGCTTCCTTCCTTCCGGGAACTGGAAGAGTGGGAAGAGGAAACCTGGAAAAATGAAAAAGAGAGGAAAAAGAACCCTCAATTTTTAAAAGGATCCTCATCCTCCCGACCAGAAACGCATAAGAGCAGCAGCTCAGCTTCTCGGCCAGAATCTACTCACCGAGAACCTGAGACTGTTCGCCGAAGCGTCCTCGACCGACTCGGCGGCAAGGAACCGAGCGTGCGCAGTCGCCTCTCGTTCCCTGCGGCCGAGGCCCAGACTTCCCAGCCAGGGACGAAAACCACTCCTACCTCTCTAAGAGGGCGGAGCGCGGTCCCTTCGGCCAGGAACAAGGGCAAGGCCGTTATGCTACCCGCCAGTTCGCCATTCGAGCAATGGATACTGGAAGAGCACGTGCCCACGGTTAAAATACCGTCGCACATCACATATGACGGGACCTCGGATCCGAAGGACCACGTGGCCTCGTATGAGACTCATATGCATCTTTGCCCCAGATCCGAAGCGACTTGGTGCAAATATTTCCCAACCACTCTCAAGGGGGTCGCGCAAGCGTGGATCTCCAAGGGAGTAAAGCAAGGCTCCATAACAGGGTGGGATGATCTGTCCTCCAAATTTAGGAGCAAGTTTTCCACGGCAAACCGCCGAGAGAAGACTACTGCAAAACTCATGAGTCTGCAGCAGGGGGAAACCGAAAGCCTCCGAGACTATCTGACCCGTTTCAGTAACGAGTCATCCAGCGTCTCTCAGCTGGACCAGGGGCTAGCCGTTTTTGCAATGCAGAATGGCCTTCAGCCCGGGAAGTTCCTAGACTTCATGGTCATGCATACCCCGCAGACCTTGGAGGAAGCTCTGAATGCCTCGGATAAGTTCATCCGAGCCGAAGAATGGAACAAAGCGAAAACCCAACCTTAATTCGGGGGAGGGAAACAAAGACAAATACCCTTGTCTGAAGGCCAAGGCCATAAGGCAAAGGGAAAGTCAAAGGCCTCGGGGCAATATTCGGCCAGCGACCCAAAGAGGGAAAAATCTGCCTCATACACAGGCAGATACGAGTCCTACACTCCGCTCTCTCTTCCACGCGCTAAAATTTACAGCGTGACGAAGGAGGAGCAGAGTTACCGAAAGCCGAGACCACTCCCAGAGTGGTATCAGCGAAAAAATAAAAATCAGTGGTGCGAGTTCCACGAGTCTCCGGGACACAACACTGAGGAGTGTATCCAACTGAAGGACCAGATAGAGGACATGGTCCGGAAGGGATACTTGAAAAAATACATCGCGGATCACCGCGAGAAAAAAGAGTCCGAGAAGTCAGCAAAGGACTCTCGGCAAGACCTCAACTTCCCCCGGAAGAACAGTAAAAAGTCGGAGGGGAAATTCTCTCCGATCAATGTTATCTCGGGAGGAATATGCTCTCGGAGGGAGCACAAGCGACACCTTAGGGCTTTGACTCACCAGGTGAACAACGCTGACATTCAGTCTCCCCAATCGCCGGTGCCGAACATGACGTTCACAGCCGCCGACTGCCGGGGGATAACGTTCCCTCACGAGGATCCGTTGGTGATCATCGCCACGGTGGCCAACCACGACGTCAGTAAGGTCCTTGTTGACGGTGGCAGCGGAGCAAACATTCTGTTCCGAAAGGCCTACAATCAAATCAAGCTGAAGCCCAAGCACCTTACGCCGGTACCCTACCCGGTATCCGGGTTCAACGGGGCTTCAACTTATCCAGATGGGAAGGTGACACTTCCTATCACCATCGGCTGCGATGAGGCAGCCAGGAACGTCATGATTGAATTTTTGGTCATTGACGCTCCTTTAGTGTACAACGTGATTTTGGGGAGACCCATAATTCATGAGATCCAAGGGGTCGTCTCAACTTATCATCAGCTGATGATTTACGTCTCAGACGCCGGCTTCCCCGAAAGGATACAGGGCAACCAAAAGGACGCCCGAAGGTGCAACTACCTCAAGCCATCCAGTAGTCGCCCAGATGACGACAAGGACGAGGAGGAGAAAGAAAAAAAAAAGAGCCAAGCACAAAAAAGCCGAAAGGCCTAAGTGCTTCGGCCCTAGGATCTTAAACCCAGAGGTAAAGGGCCCGAAAGGGAAAATGCTAGCTCTTCAGCTGAACAACAAGACTCAGAGAGCCAGCCGAAGAACAAAAAGACTGGGACACCTGCTGACATAGGCAGCAGGCCAGATTATGAAGAGTCCAGTCCATCAGCAATGGACATGGACCAACAGACTGAAACAGTTGAGTTGTCCGAAGGAGACGTTGAGAAATGTGTAACAATCGGGATGGACCTTGATCCGAACACCCGTTGTGAACTTATTCAGCTCCTTCGGGACAACAGAGATGTGTTTGCTTTCTCAGCAACTGATATGCCCGGGATAAGTCCAGACCTCATCTCCCATAAGCTTAATGTTGACCCAACGTGTCGACCAATTAAGCAAAAGAAGCGGATTACTCCGCTAATAAGAACCGAGACATCGCAGCCGAGGTCAAAAAATTGCTGGAGGCAGGCTTCATCGAACCTTGCCAATATCCAGAATGGCTGGCAAATGTGGTGATGGTTCAGAAGGCCAATGGTACCTGGAGGATGTGCGTTGACTTCACGGACCTAAATAAGGCTTGTCCGAAGGATTTCTATCCCTTGCCG